TTGCCGCGCGCATCCTCGGACGCACGTAAGTTCCGTCCCCCCTATTGCTCTGAAGTCTGCTCAGCCTTACATCTTCCATTCCACATTCCTAGGAGTATTCTGATCAATACCTATCCGAAACTGTGATAGTAGGTGTAGCACTTTTTCAACCTGGCACGCTAACTTAGAAATAGCCCACTGTGTGATGCCTAAAAACCAACTAGGTTGGATTTCAGGTCTTCAGCGATCACACAGGCAAAGATCCCTCTAAAGATGGAAACTATCAACGATGGAACGATATGCCATGCGCAACGAATATGAGATCCTATGTGTGCAAAAAACCCTCTTTACGTTAAAAATGTGTTGAAAAATTCAGTTTGTAGATGTAATGAACCCTGAGATAATGATGTAAACAAGAGCTCATGAATGATTCATGAATATTTAATTGTGGCCAAGTAGAAACCTACTGTACAGATGCGGGAGCTACCCTACCGGAATTAGTCATAGTAATTAGAAAGCAAGTTTGACTGAAAAATGATACGTTCAACAGATCGGTCAGTAAACTATTCTTAACGATTTCATAGTTTATTTTGGGATCCCCTGAAACAGTGTAACAGTCCTCTTTTGGTTAATTCATTACATCCCACTTCCTCCACCCTTCCGTCGCATTTAAGGAATGCTTTTTTCTGAATCAGGCATTGTTTAGAAGACAGAAATGGTGTCAAGAAGAGGGACAGGACGACCCAAAGTTTAGTGGGTCATTGATCACCGAATTAAGACTAATGACCCATTAAAGTTTAGGATGCCCTGACCTTCTTCTGATGATCAAAGTTCGTTATAATAAAACATATCGTAATGCGCGTGTCTACGATGATCCTTATCTTTTGAAAGAAGTCATAAAGAGTAACTGAGTGGGTACAAACCTGAACACAGTTTATTGCTAATCCGACCCGTTTCTCCATAAAAGATTGATAAAGAGAAAAAACAAAAAGTTGTGGCAATAAAGGCAATACTCTCCCAATTTCTGGATCTACTAACGGGTTCAGAGTTCGACGACGTGTACTGTTTCAACCGATATGCGACTGACTGACGGTGTTGCTGGCCACGCGTTGACAATGCAGGACAGATTGCGTTCAGGGGCGCATGAGCGGTATTGATCGGCGTCCAGAGTTGTAAAAATGCGGCCTGCAACGCTGTCGATCAGTCGCATGTCGAATGAAACGACTCACGTCGTTGACTCTGGAAGCACCCAATGCCTGTCACAACCTGCTGGTCATAGTTCATGCAACAACAGCCAACAGACGTCCCACGGTAACATTACACAACCTTAGCGCAACTACGAGACCAAGAATTTTCCAACTTGTATCACACGCATGACTACGACTAATCTTGCTCAATGCATTCCATCGTCTCATAAGTGAAGGCAATTCACAAAAGATTTTATTAAAATAGATGGTACACGGATAGTAAAAAAAGTTAAAACAAGCATGCACAATCTAAGAAAATCTTGAATCAATACATAAGGACAACCAGTTGAGAGGGAGCAGGCTCAAGGGTGGATGTACACATATAGCATTCGTTTGTTCTTCAGGGGGCAAGTCACTTTAAACGAGAAATAATGTCAGCTAATGCAGATTATTGTAAACAACATCGGAAAAACTTGGAAACCGGAAATTCTTCCTTGAAGATAATGCAAAAGGCCGGTAAAGGAGGATTAGAAATAAGAGATCAGTAAAAGAAGTAGATGAAAAATATATGGTGAAATTTTGAGCAGCCATGTTTCTGCATATTGAACAGGCAAACATTTCAAAGCTATCGGTTCAAGTGATTGAACGTGATCAAGTAAGTTCTGAGTCCGGTTCATAATCACCGAAAATGTCGTCAGGTATGGAATCAGACAAAGTCGAACAACGGGGAAATTCCATACGACTAAACTCCTTCAATGGAGGGGTACCAAAAAGACGTTCCTTGAACACCTGAATAGAGTTTTTCAAGGGCGGTGATGTATTAAAGTTGCGTTTCGTGCACGAAACCTTGACATCAAAAACAAGAACGGTGATCACAAAAAATGTTACAATAATACTTACATCGACATTGAAGCGATTACGGCTTCTGATCAAACCCAGGGCTTTCAAGTAGCGACAGTACCTCGCTATAATGATAACTGCATAGACGATGAACATCCAAAGACAAAGGAAGCAGATGAATTCCGGAGTCGTAAAATCTGAATAGATGGTAATCAGTTTCCCTTTAGTGAGTCAGCAAAATCGAAAGCTTATCCCCCAAAAAGCACTCACAGCTCTTATTAGGTTCTTCCAATTCTGCGACCCAGAGGCTGACAACAACACCTGTCATACCACCACCGAAGCACAGCTAAACAGATATGCCTTGTTGTGGTAAAAGACAAAGTTAAATTACTAGTGAGTGAGATATTAGACGAAACATTCTGTAAAGATACGAAAAAGTTTTGCAAGCAAAGGAACAGCTGAACTCACTGGTGGCACCACCAACACAGTCGAAAGCGTAGGTGAGCTGCATATCCAGCCGACTGTTCCAACTAATAGCGCTATACCATGTACACCAACAATGAATGATAAAGCCGAACATTCGGTCGAGTCCAAGCAAGTATTAACTGGCTACAAATAAAGGAGTGACGGGAGGAGAGTGGTGTAGAAAGAAATTTTAGCTTGAAGGAGACTCTGCTATCCGATCATTCTGCTTTCTAGCCCATTCGAGGGGATGTGCCCCCTCGAATGGGCTATTAACCCCAAAACAAAACATTTTCGTAGTAATTTGAGTGCAACTTCAAGAGCAAGATTGCAATTATTTCGAACGTAACCTTATATCAAACTCACCCATATAGGGTAAGAAAACAAGAGCTCAGATAAGGCAATAAGCCAAAGAAGCCAAAACGATAACAGCAGACAAGCAATTGATATCTGAAATTGAGGTTTGGGATTCTCTGCAAATAAACAAGTCTGTTATGTGAATATCGAGAAGCAAATCCAAACTAAAAAACACTTACAACAGCAATCTGTCGATTTGTGTTAGAATACCTTTATGATGTCATGTCGTTCTACCAAGTTTACTCAATATTACACTTGCATTTTTAATAGATTGTAATCCCTTGAAGATATTATCCGATGGATAGAAGAGATACAACTCGAACACTTTCTCTATAAAGTAAAGCTGGGAACTTACTCGAAGATGACGTGTATGAAAGAGAATTCTAGCGAATCTAGCTTGCAATCGTCGTGCTTGAGACTTTAGGTCTTCTTGACTGAATGTTAACATCACTCCCTGAAAATCGTCGGTCTAACACTTTAATATACTGCAACATCTAACCAGTTATTGCTAAATAGTATAGATTTCGGTAAATAGGCCATCTGCTTCCAAAGAAGCAAGTAGACGGAGAAAGATGATAGGGTACAAACTGTTTGAAGGAACAAGTACAAGCAATCACTAGAATTAAGTGCCTGAACGTCGGATTGGAGTGTTTTTGACGGCGCAGTATTGCTTGGAAATAACAAAGCCATTTCAAATGCCATTCTTTTGTCTATTAAGTTTACTCATTACGGAGCTTAACTTTCACGGATGAAGTATGAAAGCCTAGAGAGTATGGATTTCCGTTTCGTGCAGTTTCGTAGAACAACCGAGCCTGGAAAGAAGAAAAGAAGTTGGACGACAACCGGCTGCGCCAGGATTTGCCGCGCGCGGAGAATGGTTCGCTTTGAAGACGTTGGCAAATGTCCAGACCACGGTGACCATTGCTGGCAATGGCACAGGGCGCTGGGAAACTTGCTCCTTCTATGAAATATGTTTATCTGAGGATTTATTGGTAGTGTATAATGGGGCGAAGATCGAAATAAATAAAAAGCATCAGTTTAATATAGAATTCTTCACTGCGGAGAGATCGAGCACGGTCTCGCAAAATGCTTCACCCCGACTGCAGTCGCTTTCCTACGGGATTCGAAGATTATACCAAAACAGCAATAAGGAGAAATGGCCGAGTGGTGGGTAAAATGGTATCTGGAACGGCTCCGACCCAAAGCGCTCTTGAAAACCACCAGACCATTGATAACTCTCTCTTAAACCCGTTCCAAAGCGCAAGCCACTTTTCGGTAGTGAGCATAAATTTTTATTCCCGATTTCAAGACACAAGGCTGATTGGCGCATAGCAGAAAGGCCATTATGGGTCCTGTAGGTAACGACTGGTCCAGAGCGGTAATTAGGCAGAAGAGGGGGTGAACCGCGAATTTATTGCGTCGTCTGCCTCTCTAATCAACTCTGATGTGTCTCTAAGCTTTTCCAACTGTCTGTCCGTCTGCACTTTCTTAACAGTGGAGGGGGAGAGTCGAGATGGCGACAACTGCGGAACCATGTCCAGCCTAAACTGGCGCGATTTTACGCTCCAACTAAAGCGATAACATAGTCGACGTACCCGATCCTTTATGGGGATTCCATGATGACCTGTGCAAGGTCTACAGCAGAGAGCCGGCGGTGATGCGCGGAGTATAGCGGGTTCGGTAATGAAGGCGGGGTGTGGTGCATTGGGAACGAAATGGTCGCGTCGCGGTGAGAGGGCGTCGCGCGCGAAGGGATGTAGCAGGATGCAGCAGTAGGTAAAAAATACAAGAACAAAAGTACTAATAGTAGAATTATGCATAAAATAATGACCGCATATCGATTGAGCTGTATGAAGAACGCTAGAGCTGTAATAACGGCGAATGAGTGGTCCGCGATAGCTGTGTGCGGAAATCGTTCCTAAAGCCCGTCTCACCTCGCGGGGCTATGGTTCGCTTGAATCTCGCGATTGAACCTAACTTTGGTAAATAAATGACGAATGAACTGCGCTGAACGACATTTTATGTAGAGGAGGTGCTGACAGAGCAGGCGTGTCTAACTAGCGAGAGACATCCTTTTTTGAAGACCTTTGTTCACCGCAGCAATGTCTCATATTGTTTTTGCACGAGTATGAACCATACGACACGGCTTAACTTTATTTGATAAGATGTTTGTCGAAATTTTCAGTTTCTGCGGTCCTTCTAGACTTTCTGCGCTTCCTGCAAGAAAGAAACTCTTGTTTGAAGACCTTAAGCATCAATATTGCAAGGGGAATAAGAATGAAATAAAAAGGAAGAAGCAAGCATTGTAGTTATAAGAAGGAGAAACGTACTTTTTTCTCTAAACGTCCGCTATCTCGTTTTCTAGCACGCTGGAATGGAATGAACCTCCAGTTATACATTCATTTAACATTGCTTTGGTAGCGAAAGTCTCAACGTTTCCTGAGAGGTCGAACAGCATGCAAAAGTTAGCAGCCGCAGAGATGCTGCTTTCTAGTTAGAAGATCGTGAAAAAAAGTATTTGGCGCCGTACGCAGTTGTCGGGTGGTGTTTATAGTTTGCGTCAAATCTGCGAACAGTAATGGAATTAGCGGTACCACCGCTCGACTAGCGCAGCCAGATTTTGACTAATTTGATAGCAAAGAGAATTCTTAGAAGTCAAACTGTTTCAGATGAACGTCTTCGGGAAATACAAATGGAAGGCGAGGACGCATCAATTCTGTTAAGAATTGAATTTTTGCAATTTTTGTAGTACCAAATCCTTATGATCCAGTTGTTCGTTTGAGTGAACGCTCCCGGAGCGAATGCCTTCAGGAGGAAGGAGTTGTGAAAATGGTTTGAATTTTTTATGATACTCTAACCTCCCCTTCACCCCACCAAGCTCCCACGCTCTGACGTGTAGAAGTAGTTGCTGCGCAGCTGCGCGAGAGTGTGGAGCGTCACTTTTCTCGAAGGAACACCCTCTTGCCCTTCGTCGCTTTTTGCTTTTATTTCTTCGCATTTTCGCTCCCTCTCCTTTGTTGTAAATCGCCCGATTCCCACATCTATCTTTGCGTATCTACATAATAGCCCATGATCGGTACCATTTTTAGGGGCAAGCTCAGTCGGGAGTGTGTCGATAAAGTGTATAGCTATAGTAGATAGAAAATGAAACTCACAATTCTGTCGCGAGATGAAGACCTTCTAGGAGTCTGAATGCAAATATTCAGATGTCAGCATATGAGAACTTTGGGTGACGGAACTTACGTGTCCGAGGATGCGCGCGGCAAATTGCGCGGCGAAGTGCGTGGGGATTCGAACGGCTCTGGCGCCTATCATTGGGGATCAAATTTGAAGTAGAGTGGATAAGAAGGATCATCTGGCCCTACTAAACTACACTACTTCGAGTTTGGGCCCCAAAGATAGGCGCTAGAGTCGTTCAAATCACCATGCACTTCGCCGCGCAATCTGCCGCGCGCATCCTTGGACGCACGTAAGTACCCATACCCGAGAAGTATGCCGTTTCTTGAGTTTAGTTCCGAATGTCTTGCAGCATTCCTCTGATGGCTTCCTGAGGGGGGGGGGGGGGGGGAGAGAATCTCAAAGCAATTGAATTGTGTGCTTTCGTAGTTCAGCGACGTGCATTGTTTCAAGCGACTAAGTGACCGACGGCGTTACGTTGATGGTGTTCACAACACATGACAGATCGCGATCGTGTAAGCGTCGGCGCCGCAGACGACTTGCAGTATCGATCGGTGTCCAGCATTGTCAACACGTGGCCAGAAACGCTGTCTTACGGTTGGTCGGTCCGTTGAAACAATGCGCGTCGTTGAACTTTGAAAACACCCGATCACGGGTTTCGCCTTTCGTGCTATTTTTCTTACCCATCTTAAAAGTGTAAAATTTGGTTTGCGATACATGCTTTCGAGCGGAAACTCTTCCCAAAAGACGATTTCTTGAAGGGTCAATCGGTCGTGAATGCTGAGAGCTGAGAGCTGCATGACGACTTCAAGCTAAAGCGCGTCTGGCTCCAGATGACCGTCTCACGTGAAATCAAATTGCATTCAGTGACATGAGCTAAGAGCTTTTTCTGAATTTGTTAGTGTGAATTTGAACATTGCATTTGGTGCTGCAAGACTTTCCAGATTCTCCATTCGCAAAACAAATCTCAACACCTAAATCTAACCTTTGACGCCATCTTTCTGGCTTTTTCATCCCAAATGTCAGGCATCAGATCATGTCGTGCTAACATCACATCCAATATGGCAAGTTTTGCCTTCAAAGTGTGAATACATTTATATGTTTCCTTTTTCCGGAACGTAAATGTATCCAGCTATTATTGCAATGTGGCAGAGTTCATAGTTGGCGTCGTAGTATGGAAAGACGTAGTCGAAAAGGGTGAGGCATAAATTTCCTTGTAATAGTTACCAAACATACATTGTGCCTGTCCTTTAGAAATGCGCGAAGTTCGTCGTTGTTAGGTTCTTCCAGAACATCCAGTGCGTGACTTATCGCCTTATCAATGAGCGTAACAACCTGAAAATCTCTTGGATTGTTCGGCATCAAGTACAAAACAACGTTCGTTAGCTATTCAGTCTGTTTCCCCTAAAAACATTTGATGAAGAACTGCCCGAGGGTTGTATCCACTTTTAGACCTCACTTCTCGACCCATACCTTACCTTTGCGAACAAAGCAATGCTCATTCATACCGGTCTATTGCTACTAGCAAAACTTACTCCTCCCTCCCCCCCCCCCCCCCCCCCCCCTTCACCGTAATACCAGTTCTATTTACGTATCTGGTCTCCGCGGTAAGTCTCCCAGTCTCCTCATAGGCATCTGTCGAAACTCACCTCTTTCGTTGGAGGTAAATCTGGTGTCGCAAAATATTTTGTGAGAACTTCATTTTCTTCAGTCGATAAAGATTTTTCGAGTAGCTGGTTTTTCTTGAATGTCTCTAGAACTCCCTCGGCTAGTTTCTTTTGTGACTCAGGCTGAAACCATTTGTTTATTTAGTTGCGTCAATTACGAGAACATTCAGATTAGTTGACAGTCTTAGCAACGTTAAGAGTAGAGGTACTCAGCGATTCCGTCTGGAGTATAAACACCACGTTTTTAGTTTTACTCTAGCTCGAGTAATCGAACAAAGGGAAGATCTAGAATACTTGAGAGGTTTTTGAAATGGGTTTGTTTCAGTGCTGACCCTGTATCCCTGAAATTTGTGGATAACTGGATCTGGATTCTACAGGATGATCCCGAAATCAACTGATCAAGTGAAACCTCGGCTGCTTAATAGTCGAGCCGAGGACGTGCTCATGAGTAGACAGAGTGGCGGAACTTCTGCTTGAATTTCCACGTGGCGAATCTTTCCATTATACCTCCTACATTGGAAGTTCCAGTCTCTATTATGCTTCCGCAAAGCTCAGAATTAAATAACGAATTACCTTGTACTGACGTACTTTTTTGAGAGTGGATATGCTGAAGTTAGAAACGTACGAGTAGGTCATCGTAATCATAATCTGTCGGTATTCGTGAACTCCTTCCTGGATCGAGCTTCTTTAGTTCCGCATCCTGCTCCATCAACAAGGTCCGCAGAAATGCTATTTTCTAAAGTGAAGAATTTTGACAGTCATGTTGCTGTAGCGATGATAAATGGGCCACTCGAACTCACTTTGTCCCTTTTCTCGAGTTTTACCCGGAGGGCAGCTATGGTTTCCTTGGCTTTTCTAAGTTTCTTTTCAGTCTTGGTGTCATTTTCCCTACCCTGTTTACTTCGTTGTTCTTGTTTTGATGGTGCTTCAGTATCTGATTTCTCCTAGATTTGACTCAAATAAGGACCAATGTAAAGCTGAGGACATGCTATACTAGTAGGCAAAAAGGCTTAAAATTATTGATAACCCAAGTTGAAGGGCCCATAAGGAGGGGGAAGGAGAGAGAGGGGAGAAGGAGGGTTAGGATCGCTGACCCTCCTTCTTCCTTCCTGCTTTCCTCACGCTCAGGAATAGTTGCCAGTACTCTATGATATACATGGGTAGTGTTTGTGGCTCATGGGCTTCGACCTATTCCAGGGACCGGATCCGATGGACATCGTGGAATGACTGGAAAGGTTGTGATGCTTTCCTTCTGCAACCTCCAGGAAACCTCCAGGAGTGAACATTATTTGAAAATGCTGACTGACTGCATGTCATCGTTTACACGCTAGAAATGTGGTTCGAGGAGTTTGGACATCTTGACCTTGGGAATCGCTCGGTCATTCAGTAAACATCATACCGATCGTGGTGAATCACTGTCGTCCTGAAATAGTTATTATTAGAATCCTTCTCAAGCCCCACTATGGAGAATGACTTTTACAAGCAGATTCCCTACAGTCTTGATGAAAAACCTTGTTATGTTAACCTGACGTCAAAAGGTGTGCCAACACCAAAAACGGCTATCATTTTGTTGATGTCAGGAATGACCCCATGAATGCATAAGTTTCTTGACTCCCTTAAGGAGCTATAATTGTTGGGGTAGTGCGAAACTGTATTTCCCAGAGTTAGCCGAACCCAAATTATCGTTTTCGCCGTTGTTAACAATAGTCAATATGCAATTTTTACGTGGTTGATTCTTTCACTAAGCTGGTTTTTGTTTCTCGCGCAGAATATCGGCATACTGTAAAAGCACGCTGTAAACCTGAGAACTGCTACAAGCGAGGCGTCAGAGCTTACACACTCATGTGCTATGTCTCTTTAGCTCAGCCCAAAAAATTGATATGATTCAGTTGCTCTTTTGTAAAATGTAAGGAGCTCTAAGCGCTAAGGAGTTCTAGTTTTTTTCTAAATAACTCTAGCCCTTAGAAATGTTATTTTTCAGGAGGCAAGATATACCGTTTGATCCTCGCGGGAGACGTCCTTCCATCTATAAATAGGCATATTACGAGGGTTTGTCAAAATCTATTCTCTCGTTTTGAACTCACCTCAATTCACGAGTACGCATATGAGCTCGTGCTGGACGTGGTTGCGCTACATTTTCGAATTCTTCTCTTTCTTCATCAGTAATCGTTGGTGTTTTGGGGGTTATGACCTGAGTGGTGTGTCTTTACCGTAATCCTTTTCATTAGAGCCGGGCATGGAAATGAGTGTTGGTGATTTCACGTGCACTATTCATTGTGCTTTGTTTGTGAGATAGGTGAAGCTCGGTTCAAAAAGTTAAGCACCTAATGAATGGGATTCACTATAAAGTACAATTTCTACTTGTGAACATACCCTCCTCTGTGTAGCAGTTGGTGTAGAAGCTTCCCTTGGGCCTGAAATTGTAGCTATTCTAGCCTATTAAGGAATATCAAATCTGATCTTGCAATCCGAGCGTGAGTTTTTACGCTTTGGATTCTACTGGTCTAAGCAATGCATGTGGAGTTCTTCGACATTCGCGATTCGCTGACGTTTTAAGAAATTGACTATTTGAACGGGAAAGCACGGCTGAATTTACGTCTCAGTTCCTACGGATGCGTGCTGCACTTAGCACACTTTTGACAGTTGTCTCGACATGGCGAGCTGCAATAACCGTACCACCATTCAGCCCATGCTGAATTCATTATTATCCGATACATACACTGGAAACTCCTATCAGCCGCTCATAAATGTAGACACAAGCCGAGTGAAGCTATTGGGACCTACTTTACGATGTACGTCGTCAAAAGGTGGTCGGAAGTAACTGTACATTGTAGCTGATTCGAGTGATAAGGCACCCCTCCTGCTCAGTTTAGTCATTCAGTTCTAACTAACCACTGGATCTGTTGGCTTCTGGCTCTTGCTTCCTCCTTCCATCTGACTCTGATTTTACGCGCTCTGTGCTTGGGCGCTTGTAAATCTGAACACACAGTACGGATTACCAAAAAGCAAGTCAAACTATTTGTATGATTAAGCTGCTACCTTAGAACCTAACTGATGGCGAAACATCCTCTTTAGGCCTCGATTTCTTTCGGCGCTTCCTGAGCTTCTTCTCCTGGCTTCAGCATTTCTTGATGCCATACCCAGGTGATTGTTGCCTGAGGTCCGTTCTGATCATGCAAAGCTGCTCAAAGGCTTACTCAACCAGGTTTGACGTCGGGCAGCAACTAACCGGCTTATGAGATGGTAAAGGAAGGCGAGTATAACAAAAACGGTCAGCAAGCGTAGTGAGCAACCTTTTGCGGTTGCAACCACTCCCGAAATGTTGCTCACCGTGCATTCTGGTTCTTATCTGAGTATTTGGTTGTATCAGTATCGCATTTTTAAGGTGGTCACGTTTTTGCAGAGACAAAGATGGGCTGGTGGTTCTCGCCAACTTAGAATTTCTCTACATGAATTTTCTTCAAATGTACGTACTTTGCATGCCGTTAATTCTTGTTCCTGCCTATTTCGAGGTCGGGACATGCCATAGGTTGACACGTGCGCGACAACCTTCGTTTGTCCTACCAGGACCCTTCATCTTTTGTACATACTTCGAACACGATTGTGAACTACTCGTCTAGTCCTGCAAGGCCTAGAGGCCTGTGCGAGATAAAGGATAAAAGACAAAGTCGTGGGGCTCCAACCAGTTCCGTCTGAAGGATGCGCCCCGCTTTCGACTTCCATTCAGAATCGTAGAGGCGAATTGAATGTGTATGTGGCCTATACAATGAATGCTGGTGGCTAAGTGATGTACAAATCAGTGCTTTTATCCTCCCAGACAATTCTGGTACCAATTAACCGACCCTGGAAGGATGGAAGACTTGGCTGGCCTAGGCGGACATCGATCCGGGGTGAGAGATAAGATACGAAATTTTCATAAGCCGCATGCTTCTTAAAAGTACCAGGGGCCATAACTCTATCTACATCTCGAATTCAACAATAATTATTTCCTTAAAAGGGTCATCGATGAGGCACTCTCCTGGAGGTATTTTAATGTTCTGATATTTCTTGGCTATAGAACGTCATTTTATTAGTAGAACCCTTTTATCAGCATAACTGACATAAACACAAGCTTATGTCGTTCCCATAAGTAATTTTCAAGTTCTCACATTTTGAAAACGTTTGAAAACGAAAACGGCCAAGTCGAGAGTTCATCACAGAAAGTGTGATGTAAGTCGTTGGTTGTGAGAGGATTATTCCAATTCCAGAGTTGAAGAAAACTCGGTGTCAAGCACTAGTTCCACAGATGACGTACCGGCGACGTCGACGCGCAAGAAGCCATCTCAACTCCCTGTTGGTAGCTTATTCTAGCTTATTCTATGAAACCTCGATTGTTTACTTCAGAGGAGGGCAAGGAGGGAAACAGGGATTGTAAGGGAGGTAACCAGCAACCAACACTGGTGCTTTTATTTTTGAGCGCTACAACATAGCTTTTGCTGTATGCGCCATTAACATTACAATAGCGGCGATTTAAGGTGACTTATTTGAAAGGGAAAACACTCAGGCGAAACAATGATGGAGAGTTATTCAGTAATGTTCCTTGGATATTTCTGGATGCAGCTGTTTCCTTCAAGAGAAGAAGATGGTCTAGAAAGATGGTGCATATCGTGAAGAATGGATATGGTGCATCAATTTTCCCTATGAGGAGATTTTTGTTGGGGCCTTGCTACTCAGCCTTTCCTTTAAAGTGTCGAACAAATAGTGAATACGCAACTTCTGCGTACCGACTGAAGGTCGAAAAAACCATTCTCATGAATCTGTCATATATCATATGCTTCTAGCTCTGCCGATTTTAACGTTTAAGTTTTTTATACACATAGTAAAGAGTTATTAGTACAATGAAGGCTAGAGTGAGTGTGAGATATGGTGGCGGCGATGACGGTGGCGTCGGAGATGCTAATTCCTCTTCGGTTGTATTTTTTTCTTCTGAACTTTTCCATCTGAAACATCCAGTAATGGAGATAGTGCAATAGGGAAAGCGTTAGATTTGAACAACAGAGAATGGAATAGAGTGGAATGGGGTGTTTGATTGACGAGGAGTACGTCGCTATGTGATTTGCTAGGCTTTCGAACAGTTATAAAGTGGAGCTGGAGTGCCTTTTTTACGGTATTTCCGACCTTGTTGGGGGCACTAAATTTGTTTCAGCGATCCATTCCACTTCGCGGTGGGGACCGCAACATTCATATTCTGAAGGGAGCTGCTGGGGTTTCCTTTCTCTGAATATATGTGTCAAGTAGACCATTCCCTTACAGAGCCTTTCCTCGGCGAAATCAAGGTCACTCGTCCTTGGGTCTTAGTCGGCTCATAGTATCGCTGTCAAAGGGCCGGATCAAGACCGATTTGCCGTGCCAGGACCTTCATACTACGAAGATTGGGAGTCGTACACCTCCGACAGCGGATCCTGAGCTTGCAGCACAAGGTCCACTGACGGCGGCGGCTGCCGTCCCCGTGTTCAGATAAGCTTGCGGTGGGCGTTTTACAAGACTAACCTTCGCAGCCTATACTCACCTTAGTCCACGTCTCGTGCGTAAACGAGTCCGTGCTGGTTGTACTCGTGATACCTGTTCGAATTCTTCAAGTTCTTTTGGATCGATTTTCTGAAATATCGAGGATTGCTTTTTGAAAAGCATGAGTTAAGTGGTAATAATTTGACAAAGTCCTCTTTTCTAGCATATAAGGGTTAAGACTTCAGTCTTCGAGGCCAGTCATGAGTAATCTGCACGCGCACCTTCGCTGAAGGTCTACCCAGTGTAAAAGCAGGCTAATGACTGAGGCCCCTGAAACAGTGCATTTTCCATTTATGGACTTACCTCAATTTGTGCAATGGTTTCTTTCATGCCTGAAATATATAGGTATTTCATAGTAGTGACACAGCAAATGAGTGGTTCCTAATTGCAGAGCCAAGGAAAATCCCCTTAAATTCAAGTGGTCCAAACAGCTTCTACACTTTTACTCTGTGAGATTGCATAACTCTAAGGTTCGGGAATGCTAGTAATCCTGCTTGTCATTGACAGAAAAGCACAGGTTTCGAGAATATTTCGATGAGTATCTTGAACAGGAAGGCATGGGAATCTGTGCTCGAGCGACGCTCCTCATTCGCTGTACCCGCCGCTCGTCTCAGAAATTCAATGGATGATTAGAGCCGGCTATGCAGGGGTAAAATTTTCGCCTAGTGAGCCGCGATTACTTTGGGTGATACGGCCAGTTGGATGCCGAAAGACCGTATCAACCACCGTAATCGCGCTGCACTATCAAAGACTTCTGCGCGTATACGGGCGTCCTTGCGAATGCAGGTTCAAGTTCTGTTACCCTTAACAATCGGCCGTTCTCTCTTTCGTGTAGTAGTCGCAGAACTTGACAGGCTCGCTTGATGAGGGTAAGCGAAAAACCTGCTAGATGCCTGTCTCGCATGATGTTACCCTCCCACTTACATGGAAGATCCGCCTTATACTGACAACGCTGTAGAGTAGCGAATTTGTTGTCTAGAAAGTTGTTGATCAGAACTCTTGAAGTAACTGATCAAGTTTTTCGGTTCCTTTCAATAACTCCTGTAGATAGATAACGAATCACCGTATTTGACACCGCTCAACTCCTTTTTCTTCGCTCCTGCGCCATCTGATGTCAGGTGTTTGGCACCCTGAATATGTGGAGAAGATCAATTATATCTTTAACTCGTATAGGTGTGCGCTACCACCTTGGTACTCGAGCGACTTTTTTTCCTACGGATTTCGTTTCTCTCATCATGTTTTTCTGTCATCTAAATTAATATTGCGTCAGTGAATTCTAGGATCATGTAATTCTGCGATCAAGCCACTTACCTTAGCATGTTTAATACAGAGCTACTGTCTCAAATGGCTGTGGAAGGAAAAGGACGGTTGAGGATCAACTAGTAAGAGCAGCAAGCAACCGTATGAGCTTATACCAACTCGGAAAATGAGAGTCACCTAGGTTACCGGTTTCTGTCATTATCATCACTTATATCACTGCAGGTTTTCTTTGCTCTCATGTTTGCTTCTGACCAGATTTTGCAAAGACCAAAGGAAGGAGAAAGATGTCTAATGCGCTGTTAGGAAATCTAATCGGGATTTCCATAACTACATACATTACTCTGAACCCATGAGTGCAGTTATCAAAGTTAACCAGGACCGGTGGTTCATTTCGATTTTTATAACATTAGACATTTTTATAACATTTTTATAACATCAAAAAGCTTAGCAGAACCCGTTTTTTGATCCGCTGTGTAGTGTCCTTTAGCATCCACCATCCTTTTTCATGCTCGTGGGAAGAGGTGGGGGGGGGGGGGGATTTTGGAGGCATGAGTTTATCACGGTTTGTGGTGGCACGCTGTCCCGAACTATCATTGGCAAGTTTCTGGGAGAGGGCAGCAGCATTGCCTCAATTCTCTTGAGAGAGTATGTGCTGTCATTGTAGGATTTCAAGTAATGAAAGTTACCTCAGTGAGAGTACCATAGACATAGCAGACGCTCTTTTCCATGTTTTATGTTCCTCTGATTAGCGAGAAGTTCGATGGCCGTTGGCCGTCAAACGAGTAAATCATTCAATAAGCGTGGTTTTTTGAATCGAAGTCGAATGTGGTGCCAAGGTCTAGATTGTAAATCACGGCTGGGATCAAAGGCGCTCATGTCGTGGAGGTCCTTCGTGGTCGGACGTTCAAGGGGGCTTCAGTACAAACCATATCTGTGTGCTAAGGCACTTCACTTCAACTGCATAATTAACAATGAATGCAGTGAGTATCGAAGAAATCGCGTGTGTTTCAGGGTTAGCATGGAACATTAACGTTTAAGTTTTTTATACAGGTAGTAAAGAGTTATCAGTGCAATGACTGTTAGTCCGACGTATAATGACAGCGACGACGATGAGGCCGATGATTCTTCCTCAGTTTTACTCCCTTCTTCTGAATTACTTTCTTTCCATCTGAAATCACTTGTAATTAAAAGTAGTTTCGTGAAATTGTTATGTTATCGTAAAAAGGGGGTAGCGTAAAGATCAGGCATAAAATTAAAGGGCGGTACAGTATTCAAAGGGTACACACAGTACGCACTGTCGAAGTGAATTCTAGATGAAAACTAACTTCAGTTTCCGATTGCGAACATGTGCTCGAGCAGGACGTGCATTTTGAAGGTTTTCAAAATACGATGGTTTCAAGGATTCAGTATTCTTAACAAAAATAATGGATCTTTACATTTATAAAAAAACTGATAATAACAGTCGTACCCTTTTTTCAATAATATCTCCATCGACACCTAAATGAGCGCTAATACTAGCTAACTTGTATCAATAAATCGTTTGCTGAAGCTTGAATTGTAGCCATTACCGTATTTTTGACCGGGCGATCCTGGACTATTCTTTGACGGTTTATCTCTTTCTGCAGAGCCTGGTGAATCCGTACTGTTCCTTGACCGTTTATTACTTCCTGCAGAACCTGGCGATCCCTTCGAGCGCTTTTCCACCGGAGATCCACCCTTAAAGGCAACGAATATTATCGTTCAATTTTTTTATACACGATTCAATTGATGTTTGCTTGCTTTCATCTTTGCGTTGAATGATTTGATTTTACTATTGTTCAGTTGAAATTTTGTAGGTTTGTAGTTTTCCTCGGTGAGATCTGTTCGTTTTCAACCGTTCTATTACACGCTTGTCAAGTTTGTTGTCCTATGGAGCTAGACGAAATCACCTTTTCCCAATTGTTTCAAATCACCGATGAATGGTTTGTGTTCAGAAGCAATTTATTCAATGGAAAAAGTAGATTCTCCATGAATACTCAAAAGAACGCTTTATTACTACATCCGCCCAAACGCTCATCATGGGCACGGTTCTGGATGGAACCATCTGAAAATGCTCCTCACCTTAGAGCTTCCCTTTTTGCCAGGGCTCGGCATGTTTCCGCAAGCGAATTATCTTATAGTTATTTCTGGAGATCTTCTTTGTGTTCAGTGATAATTACCCTGCTGTGTTTCTCTGCAAAATGTGGAACCTTCATTAGGCAGCTTGAGACAAATTTCCACCAACCTTCCCTCCAAGATGTGAACTAGTAAATGAAGAAGAACCTCACCATCCAGGAGAATGAGAGTCAGCCTCTCATTTTGCTGTTTGCTAACTCCTTTCAGCGGTGATAGGAGGCATATGTCTACCGAAACACAAAGGCTTTAAAGTAGTGAATGAACGCTTTGACGTGGTCTGGAATGAGTCCTGGACGTGCTCTATGGCTCGAGCTGTATTTTGAGTTCTCTCCACTTCCATTTCTTATGTATTGTGCTGCAATGAGGTCAGTACCCACTGGTACAAGCCCGAGACCGAATGGCTGCTCACCTTACTCAGTTTAATTATCGATGAATCGTCGGAAAATCTCACTTTGATATAAGCTCAACTGGAGAAATGTTTATGAAACAATCGTCCTAATAAGAACGATAAGGGTTCTGCACTGGTCAACCACTCACTTTTTGTGAAGGCATCCTACGCTGCCATCCGTTATCTGCTACTGTGGAATCGAGGCAGACGCTTGAGTACATCGTAGCGCTACTGCTTAATGGCTACTCAGTATGCACCACAGTCCTTTACCAATCACGACAGGCCAATATCCAAAAGTACCAGCAGTTCAAACAATGCCCGAACCCCATGTTCAGAAGATTTTGCCCCGGTTCATTGAATTCAATGTTTGAGGAACGTCCCACTGTTAGCAAGCCATCGCTTTCGCTGGAGAGTTTTGGAAGTTCGCGGCAACAGTGCTAAATAAGCGCCCACATTATCTAGTCGCTCTTCAAAACAGGGCCAGACCCCCTAACGAGACGCTTAAATTAGTTGCTACGTTGCTCCTAGACCCAAAATGTTAAAATTTGTAAGGGATAAAGATGGCAGGATGTGAACACTGATGGTTGGTGACAGGGATTGATTGTAACAGACAATTGGTCAGAAATGAATAATTTGTTCTGAAAAGAGGAACTGGTGACCAGTTCTGCATTCCGATTCTTTGAAGGGAGGATGAAGGGACGGCGTGAGCCGAGCGATACTATTGATAACAACTATATAATAGCGAGAGCAGAAGTGCGAAGAATATTTATTTCCTGATCATTAATTTAGGGAGATATGAGTAGACGATGAAAACATAAGTGACAATACAAGAAGTGGTAAGAACCGTTTTTCATGTGTTCACAATGACAACACCTGAGTTATACAATGGCAACAGCGAACTGACATGGAAACAGCCACCAAATGTACCTAAATCTCAAAAGGATCAGATGAACAGGATTCAAAGAGGATATGGTACAGTGAGCACTGAGGCTGTGACGTTCAGCATTCTCAACATAAGACCCGTCATAATATAAGAGAATTGAACTCAGCAAAAATCTTCTTCCGTTTCTTTTGCCTGAGTGCTGATTTGTATATGAGTAAAGAGAGTGAATAGGCGTGCAACAGCCGTACATATTATCACATTGTGGACTTAATAGCAGAGCGACAAATATATTGGTTAGGAAGCGGACGCGGTTGGCCTAGAGCTATTTTTCGACCATACTTGTTAGTACTAGCTCTATCATTGTGCAGGGATCAGTGAAGCGGCATTTGAACTTCCAGACGAGACTGGCCCTATCCTCCTGGTTGATTTCCGTGTTTCTCTTCTGTTTGATGAAGACAGTAGGGATAACAGTTCGTATCGTAGACTTATAGGAAGTCGTACCTCGTACTGTAAAAAGGACGGCACTTGCCGCAGTATTGGAAACACCGTCTCAGAGCTCACTTTGACCATTGTCAACTGAATCCTACACTATTTCCGTATCACATGCTTTTATAAAAGGAGTTGTTTATTTCTACATAAGCGGCGTCCAAGAATTGGCCTCGCCCTAAATAACTACCCATTCGTTCCCGCGTTTTAACTTTGTAGCCGTACTCCACGATTGTGAGCAACCCTGATACTCTGCGCAGCGTGGCACTTGGTTATATTATTGGGAATCTATCAGTCAACACCTAGTTCAGAAGACAGATAGTGGAAGGAGGCAGTCTGACTCTACAAACGTTCACCAATGCTCTCGTAAGTGTAAATCGAATGTGAGTTCTCCACGCATTCCCGCAATGTCGAGTGCAACTATGTGGACGAGGCACAGCTCAACCATTTCAGATATCTTCTGTAAACAAAATTATTATTTTATCCTCAACAGTAAATCAATTTTCAAGATGTTCATGTTACTATATGCTCAACTGTAGAATTGAGGCAATTTGTACGATAAATATGTAGAGGGAGGATGCAGGAAAGAATGGAGATGGTCGATGGCAAAACTTCCTGCGCTCTCACAGGATAAACACCCCACGCCCGAGGGCTATGCCTCACAAACTACACCTCATAAAACGTACGTTACAAGATGTGGAGATGGTGGATTGATTTGAATGTGAAGAGTGAAGGTTATAGACGTCACATTGGATGAAGAAGGATTATTTTCACGTCGCAAACCCCCTTTCTGGTTTCCCTCGCTTTGGACTCCCGAAGTGAATCGTAATGTCTTTAAGTGGCTTTTTGCCCTACGGGAAACGGGTATTCGGTTAACTGCAGGAAATCTAAGTTTGGAAAACTAAAGCCCAACCGATTGTGTTATTAAAACACGATGATAGATAAAATTTCTCGTATCCTCTCTAACATGGAACTAACATTGAGTGACGAGAGCAGCTCGAAAAACGACGACATTCGGTTTATCGTTTTTTCTACTGAACAGTCCTTCTGTGACTGCTTTACATACTGCAGTAATATTTGTACATATTTGTCGCGTAGACGTATCATCAGCTCATTAGATTCTTCCCCGAGTGATTCTTCTGAAATTTTTAAGTGAGTAACAACAAATTGTGATAATCAAAGCTTCCTGTAGAAGAAAATTCATTTCCCAAACTCATCCCAACCAAAAAATCTTCAGCTTTTGTTGGCTGTACGTGGCCCGAGGATGGGTAGGTTTGTGCTCGGCAGGGAAGGAGATGTTTCGTTTTGCATGTGCATCATTATCCCTTGCGAATTGAGTTGAATGACAGTACTAGTTGCCTGTCCTACTAGCAAAATGCGCAAGAAACTATTCAGCATCGTCTATGCACTGTTTCGGAATGAATAGATGCAAAATGTTCGATGATTATCATCCTGATTCGGATTAAACAGGAAAGGATGAACTTATTTGCTAGCGATAAGCTGATGTTGTGGAACAAACGCCCTTACTCGTGGCATGACGTGCCCTTCTGCCGGTCTACTGCTTTAGAGGTCAGTCTTTGCGTCCGCAGAATCCATCAGTCCGTCAACACAACAGATGTCATAGTCAAGGCCAAAGTCAGATTGAATGCCAATCATGCCATCCATGTATTTTTTACTTTTGGGATTGCACCAAGTGAAGATAGGCAAACCTCCCTAGGATGAACGTCACAGCATGAAGGGTCCTACGTGCAGCTCTAGGGATGGAAATGAATTCAAGGGTTGGGATTTCAAGCAGACTGTAGACAGAGAGAGTATTCGATCGAAATAGCTTGGGATACTTCATCGTGGGGCAGAAAAAAAAGGATTGCCACTTTATAAAAAGTGGGTAGCGCGTAGCGTCACAATCATAATATTTGAGCCACAACTGCCAAATTTTCTCAGTATTTAAGGAATTTAATTGCAAATCTAAGATATTTGTACTTACTATGAGTGAATAGCAGAACCAATTTCAGCAACACGTACTCCTCTTCACATACGTCAAGTTCTCGGAATTTATTCACAATATTCTTTTCTAGTTCATTCACTATCATTTCTATCACATCACTGAAAAAACACTTTTAATGCATTATTAATAAAAAAATAGTAAAAAAATAGAGTGGTCCAAAATCATAGTTCAGACCTCGTTAAAATGAAATTCAGGATTTTCGCATACCAGTGTTTATCGCTCGATTGCTGCTTTTCTTGAAGAAAGAAGAAACCATTGCATAGTAGTAATCGAGCACTTTTATGCTTGAAGGTGTTGAAGGAAATAGTGAGTAACAACAAAGGAATCACATGCATTGACGCTAATTTCAGCTGGAAATTTGATTATTGTGCTCAATGCATAAAAGTAAAGGTATCAGTCAAATAAAATCAAAAAGAAGGTCTGAAGACCGAACGATGAGCCTCAATAATGTATCTTATGGAAACGAGGTACCCGTCGTTTTTCATCCAATGTTGCCAGCTCTTCAACTGCAGCTAACCATTCCAGGTAATGCAAAACAAGTCGGCAATAGGATAATTTCACGGTGCTCTTGGGATCGTCTAGAGGCTTAGAAGCTTGCCAGCCAACCTTAAAATAGTTTTGTAAATGGGAAGTAGAAGAACGGCTTCTGCACGATTGCCACTATTCGTCTCAGAATATCTAAGAACTCCAACGAAGCCACTTCTGAAATGTCGACTGCTGATTTTCCCTCCACATTGGGTTAGTACAGTGAAAATGGTTTGGTGGAAAGCTTCTTTACTATATTTTCTACACTTGGAACTGTAAAAAATGGTAGCAGTTGGCGTGGACCGATTCTCAACTGTGGTTCATACCACCTCTTTCCTTTTAAGCGGTCTAGCGATGCATCAAGACCGTGGCTACCAAGATATGCATTGAATGGGAGCGTCACTAAACATAGGCTACCTATATATTTTATAAAGAGACCAGAATCGGTGTTGGTTGGCTAGTTTTATGAAGCCCACAGAAGGTAGCAGATCTTTTTATGAGCCTGAAAGGGAGCTGCTTATACACGTGAAAAGAGAATGGAAAAAGTAGGTTTCGAAGCTCCTTACCTAAAATCTCAAATCCACAGTCAACTATTTATTGAAACACATCTGAGAATCTTAGGAAATCGTTCGAAGCATAATTAACGTGAAAGAAAATATTCAAGTGATGAAGTAAACTGACCGGTGTACGCTCCGAGACCAGTAAAGGATTTTGAACGGCTTTTCTGAGAGAAACATTCAAACTAGGGAAATGTCGTTCAGCTACAGAAGTGGCGAACGCATCGTTGTCACAAGATCTAAAGCATTATCGTAAAGAAGCTGACGTACCATTGGCTATTGTGCCAATTTAGGTTGATATTTTGAAAAAAGCTAGAGAATACAAGATTAGATGCTAAAGAATTATGACTGAGGAAATGCTCATGCACCACATACCGTTCCAGATTTACATACATTCGTGCAATGTACGTAACTCCCTCAGCCACACCGAATCGTTCAATGAAGGGTATTCCCATATGAGAGATGTTTCCAAATTGTGACTGGAAGAGTATTCATTATATTGACTTGCTTCTCTTTGCAGATACTGGTATTACACCACCAGTCCTGTTATAAAACGCATGACCACTACATACAAACGCTACAAGATTTGTGGGGTGTTGGACTAAGGAAGAAAAGGGAAGCGGCCGAGTTGATGAACATGAATGAGATGGTCAGAATTGTCTATGTTTTTTTGGAAGTAGGTGGATCAGACCAGCTGTAAATGGTCCCCTTTATTTTTTCAGTCTGCTGCATTTAACTAGTTGGAGCCAATTTAAAAGGATAATCTGCATGTGGCTACACATGCACATGCTACCTCAATCACATCGAATACAGTAAGAATCTAGGCGAGACAGTACTCATTAGTAGTTGCTCAAGGTCGAGCTCTACGGATAGCTAGCTGTACTACTCAGAGTGTTACAAGTTCTTGTGCATGAACCGGAAGTTAGGACCTGCTTGCCACCCTTGACTTCAAAAACTGCAGGGTTTATAAATTATTTATTGCAAGCTTCGGCTTCAGCTTCAATAAATTTAAAAACACGTGTTTTCGCTTGACTTTCACTCTCGGAATAACTTAGTAGATTTCTGCTTTTATCATGATTATAGGCTAAAAAACGTGAAAAAAAATCGTGAAATAATCTCCAATTATCCTCTGCAGGGATTCAGAGTAGATGAAGAATCTGAATGTAAGCAGCGTTTTAACATTCACCAAACAAAAAGTGCTTTCGGCTAATGTCAGAACTTCGGTCAGGGATTTTAGCAATCCTTTCACGACCTTTCACTTCGAATAATCTGTTCGAGAGAAAGTCTTGGGAAGGGATCAGTATGGCTTCACAGAGTATGTAGTCGTTCACCGGCTAAGCTTTTCCTCAATTGTGCCTTCAATCCTGATTGACAGACTTACACATTTAATTTATCTATAATTGAAATTGCTGCTAGTAAGCGGTTTCTCAATGACGCATGAGAAGGGATGGTTGTTGCTTCTTTGAACACTTAATCAATTTTACGACTGGGGACTTTTGCGCTATTACGAATGATGGAAATAGAAAACAATGTATAATACAATGAGGCCTTTCAGGCAGAACATTGAAAATAGGGGCAAGAAATGGGAATTTATCGAATTCGAAAAAGATTACTTAACCGTTTGACTTAACTTGTACATCATAGATTTTAATTCTATTGGATTTTCGGGAGTCCTTCTGTTTACACATGAGGAGTGCATTTTTTTTCGTGTGCGCTTCTTATGAATTTCACTACTTCATAACTATGTACCCTGAGCCGAAGAAAGTTCAATTCAAAGTGCTCAGCTCAGTAGTACTCATCTCGAGGGCCATTTTGGATCAATCTATTTATAATATGCTGTTCTTAAGTAGATTGGTCTTTTTAAAACCCGTTTCTATCAAAATTTTTTGTAGTTTCCCACATTCCATCGTGGGTTTCGATCGCGTCTTCAGTCTTATGCACATGTGATAAATTGTTATAATAATGGCAAATAGAACTCACACAGCGAATATCGTCGCAGTCAAAATACGGTATAACGCTGTTCTCCTCAGTTTTCACCAAGAGTCGTTCAGGCCCTTTGAGATCACGCAGTTTACCAACTTCTAAAATTGTAAACACTTATTAGAGCTCTACTTTTGAGCTGTGAATAGAATTGATTTGATGTACGATGCCGTTGCAGAACTGGTTCGCTTTATTCATACCGCTTACCTTCAGGGCACATTCGCGCTTTCAGGCATTGTTGAAATCGACACGACCTGCACTTTGATCTCTTCCCTAAAAAATGATAGTCGTGAACGAACTAAAACAACTACAACTTGACTAGAACTTTTACTGTAATGTACACAGCTTGTAGTTAGAGGTAGTACAAGACGTACTGAGCCCGTCTCTTTTTGTGATTTTTCCTACCATAAGTACGAGGGTGTAAATGGTGAAGTGGAAAAATGCGCACTATCTCTCACGCATGGTCACGGGTCGTTATCCGTCTAGGCCAACTAAGCCCATTCCATCCTTTCGGGGTTGGTTAACTGGTTCCAGACTCGTCTGGGAGGATAGAAGCGCTGACTTGTACATCGGCTAGCCACCCAAGTCATTCCTTAGGCCACATACGAATTCACTGCGCCACCACGATTCTGATGGAAGTCGAATGTGTGTGCGCATCCCTCATACAGGATTGATTAACGCCTCAAGGTTCCATCTTTCATCCTTTATACATAAATATGTCTACTTTTCGACACCTCTTAGATTTCCATTTGTTGCTTTCTTAGCTATATCATTAATGTTATCTTTCTCTCTACTCCGAACTTTTTTGCTTCCTTACTTTTCTCATTATCGAAATCCCTGCTCGCCACCCTTGCTTGCTATTCTGCACCATGGCTTCCATCACTTCAGTTAAGTGAATACTTCAAAATCATCGAGAACTGTGCCTTTATTCCTTTGTGCGTAGATTTCTTGGGTAATCGAAAAGAAAGATGAGTAAAGTAAAACCTGAAATCATCCGACAGCAGCCTGATTTTTCACAAACATAGTAGATTTTTCGTTGAACAGCCCTGGCGAAAAAGATTTTGCAGCCCCTGGAATAAAAGCCTCATGAAAAAAATTATGAGTGAATACAATTTTCTCGCATAAAGCTTTTCCACGACACCCTCCTGTCACTTGTCCGCGTCACTACGTGGACTATCCACAGACGCGGACAGGTGACAGGAAGGTGTCGTGATGAAGAAGTTAAGCTTTTTTGACAGGAATTTTGGAGCGAATGACAACGATACTGCTATTTGTGATTATAAGTAAGAAACTAATCTCGAGAAAAGTCAACGATCGACGATCACGGGCAAAGCGTTGAAGACATGCAATTTGATAGTAGCTGTCGTGGCACCCAAGACTTTCTCAGCGTCAGGATCGCCATCGCCCTGCCAACGTAGCATCGAAAGAGCATTACTGTTTGCATTTTCGACTCTCGGGTCGACTGCGGTTCGGCTTCTCACCCGACATTAGTCACGTGGGGCAAACTGAGTTCGCACTATCATCTTTTTTCGTCAGCCGCCTTTCTTCGTCTGCTGCTTGTCTGCTCGCATTTACTTACTCCTTCTGCCGTCCCTCCTATTACATAGTATACGCATTTTCTTGACTTTGGATTCGTCTTTGCAGCTTGTGACAGCTTGTGTCTTCCGTAGCTCAGCCTCCCAGATCATATCGAAAAGGACCAGCTGAAGACCAAGAAATTTAAGGATCTTCTGGTCGGCATTTGGTACGTTCCCAAATATCGCGCAGCATCGCTATCTCGTGAGCAGGCAGTGCTGCAGGTCCTTACTGGTTAGTGGCACAGGATCTCCCCCATGCGTCCTTGCCCAGATCCCATATTAGTATATTATATTTTACGTCTTTTATAATTAGAAGGCAAATAATATTGTATCGTAATTTGTAATGCAGCAGTTGCTGGTGTTAGGCGTACGTTTATTTTATGTATATCGCAATCTCCAATATGAAAATCGTAGTGTGGGCTAACAAAGGTGAAGTGTAATCACACTCAATGGATTCTAGTTAGACATGCGCATATACGTGGCAGAATATGAGAGGTAGTACTAAAGGACGAAGAAACAGACAGTAGTGGAAATGTGAGTAAACGCAGGTACGGAAACTAAAGGAACTAGCATACAGGTGGCCTACACAGGACAGCAGTGGCAGGCTGTGTGCGTAGGCTGGCGGGATCCCTGTCCGTGCAGTACAACGTGTCTCTAGTAATCGGACCACACCGACTACTCAGTGAATTAATCGGCTTGTAACGTTAAACCCCTTAGACTATTATGAAAGCCATCTGGCGTTTGGCTCCCCCACTGAGAACTAGGAATTACTCCCACGTCAGACACAACTCGAGGAAACGCTAGTAGCTGCAACAGACAACTGACAAAAAAGGAATTTCTGGTTCTCCAGTTCAATGATGCGTCTCTATATCATGCTATACCATATGGTGTAATTGTCAATGATTTGGTTACAATGACAATCAGCTTTCAAGTTGCTTTACGATAGACACAATCAGCCTAAAAATTCACAAGCTGAGTAGTCAAAAAACTGGGCGAGTTGTCTCGCCTCGAGTTTACCACCTCTAGGAGTCAAACGAAGAAAAAGCCGTTCAAAAACACGTGGAGAAGAACATTTGGCAACGACTACATGAATGTTTCCAGGGATGAAGAAGCACTTATTGTGCAGGATCGGCAGCAGTAGAAAGAAACCATCGTTCGATATGCTCAACAGTAAAGGAGGAACTAAGTCCCACGTAAGCAAGTTCGAAGAATTGTGGCAACTGACAAAGATAAATAAGCGGAAAAGTGATGAACGAAGATTTTTAAGCAAACACTGAAACTGACCCGCACACTACTCCTCCATAGTGCAGGGCGGCACCTTCCGCAGAACATACTTGGCAAGTCGACGATGACGGTCGTGCCATAGTCGTAGGCCGGAGCTGAATCGTAGGAAGTAGTAGACAGGTATCAGCTTTAAGTGAGTGAGACTAGTGAACCTTTATCTACGAAGAAGGAGTTCAACGCAGTCATAAATTAAGCGGCAAAGTACTATGTACACTACCATAAAAATTGGGACGAGTTTCAGGATTCGAGGAGGCAAGAATGTCGAACATTCAACCCAATGGAACCCCTACATATTGCAAATCTTGGGTGTCAACTAATCTCTACCCTCAAAAAGTTTTTTGCGAATTCTTTTCGAATACTTCGGTGGCTGTCCATACCACCCCGTGTATGTAAATATTAAGAACTGAGTAGTTAACAATGCGTCCTGTGAAGCGAACCTAATATTATGTTATTATTCTCTGCACAAATTATTTGTGATATTGCATCGCATTTTTACGTCATGTGATTTTCGAGCCTTATCCCTCTCATCCACTTGATCGGTGAGTAAGAGATTAAGGAGGAGTACATCTAAGGTGCATTATCCCAACAGCAAACTGGTTCCTAGGGAGTTTTTGTGAATATCGCTTTCGAAAGCTCTAAATAACACACGATTTTGAAAAGCTTCCAGACATTCTGGACGTATTGGTCATTTCCTCGTAATACAGCCCTGTAGGTCTCTCATAGAGTGCCTTTATAGAGGAATCATCTGGCAACACACAGGGTATTCTCATGGATGAATCACCTAATGTATCTGCTGGTACTGCTGCTGCTTTCTTGCATTCCGACATGATTATTTCTGGCGAATTTCATGCTTTATTGTAATACTTTCCAACTGTATCATACCCATTTTATTAGCTCTCGTATCTATTGTATTTCTTCCTGGGCCGTGTGGGAACTGTGATGCTATGTATCTGTCATAATGAACTTTGAAAAATTATTGAAAAAGATCAAAAAGTTAATTGTTTTCCAGTATTAAAGGGGTAAAAGCATAAAGGATCAGGTTTTTGGAGATAATCCACTTATGGGATGCGCCCTGCATTAGACTTCCTTTCAGCATCGTAATGACATATCGAATGCGTATTTTGTTGAAACAACCTCTTGCGGTGGCCAGTCGATGAACAGATCGGGGTTTCAACTCTTTCGGTGCATGGTACCCGGATAGATGGAGAACTACGTTGGACTGAAGTGTATCGAGCCGGGACATGCTTGTATGATTGTGCGCCACTTGCCGCTACACCCCCTCCTCCCCATCCCGAATATACAAACAAGGGATGATGAGAGGGTGTTAATAGCTGCTTTCAGTTACTGTAAAATCATGCGTATGCACATCTACATTAAACACACTATCGTCTGATCCGCTTTTAATGATGGCGTCGACGCTGTAACACATCTCAAGCTACTTCCTTGTACGATTATCAGAGGATAATACAAAATAACCGGAAAATCCCCAGCCTTGAGGAAGGCTCATTTCAGTCAAAATAGATATGGATCTTATCGCGAGCGATATGAAGTTTGCTCATTTGCGGAATGGCTATGCACGTAAACTGGGTAAATTTGGCACGCTTGTGAGCGGGAGACGGGCAGTAGGATCGGTTTTGTGTAGTCGATCCGCCGCACGCGGCTGTCGCGGACCATTCGCTTCGCCACTAGCAGCTCTAGCGTTCTTCATAGAGTTCAATCGCTATGCGATCATTACTTTGGGCATGATTCTACTGTTATTACTTTTATTCCTAAATCTTTTACTTGCTGCTGCATTTTGCTACATTCCTTCGCGTGCGACGTCTTGCTCGGCAATTTCGTTCCTACTGCACCACACCCCTTGAAAGCAGTGGGCAAGAACATACAGATAGAAAAAATCGCCTTTTCCGTCGACCAGAATTGAATGTACGTCGATTAATACCAGCTGCATAGTGATCGAACCCCTACAACCTTCTTACCCTTGTTGTCGTTTATTATCGAAAATGTGAAAAAGAATCATTGAAAGGGTGATTTTGCTGAGACTCAATTGCGCTGACGTTCTAGTGAGCAACATTTAATCAGCGTGAAGGCAGACTTTTCTACAATTTTGAAATATTCATTAAAGTGATAAAATGAGAATAGGTGCATAATAGTGAAAAGGTAGCAAAAATAGTGCGAAAATGGAAAAGTAATAAAAAAGGAGATTTTACGAGATCCATAAAGTGGGGAGAAAGTGGTACCCACGATTGGATGAGCTATCAGTAAAAGGCTACTACATAGAGCTGGCTACAGTAAGCCAAGATCGCCTTACATTGTCGCCCTGAATCACGACTACAGGAGGCTGGAAATATGGGACGCCTTATTACGCCCATTTTATTCTAGGTCGTTTTATAACTGACAGCGCTACATATGATAAACATATACATGGTATTTATAGACAACATATTCACACTTGCAACAAGCATAATAAATTTCATAATTTTTGAGAACTTCACGGTTTTCTGGATTCTATACAATGATTCTTCTGTTGTTCAATTTTCCATAATTTTCTAGCTACTCGTTTCCCTTTGTCTATGTGATTGATAGGCACATCCTGGAGGTGAATTTAAATAAGTAAACATATTCAATGTTTAACGATTTTGGATCGAAAAGGCTTTATGAAGTGAAATTCCTTTCTAACAGATTATCGGCATAGCACACTCCAACCTTTCGCTTTGTAACGTCTAAACAATGCTCTTCATTTTATTTGGGCACATGTATGTCTGCTATATCATTCCCGTGGCCGTGGCTGGGGACGTAGGTGTCAGACTGCTAATTCACATCAGTGCAGAGTACAGAATAAGCTGTACACAGCTCTAATCTTCCCTTTTCATGGCTAGTGTCACGGAAAGCATCTTAGTGGCCCACATACTAAGCTCAATATTAGTGATGTCAGTGATGAAATGCCATGCATTGGGCTTAATTAACTACGAGAAATTTAAAAAACAAAACTTAGAAGTACCTGAAGTTTCCCGACCACGCGATTAGAACAGCAAGGCTCCTCATCCATTTCAGCTATTCTAGTTGTAGAGCCTTTGGCTGTGGATGATACAGTACTCTCGTCATATAAAGTCGACATCTTCAATTTCTTACTCGAAACGGAGTCTAGCGATGTTGGATAAATCTCCTCATTCATCACTGAAAAGAATCATACAGGAAATTTGAGGACTTTTTGTGCAATGTGCAGCCGAGATGTGAAAAATAGCTTAAAACTCGAAGCTTGAGATATCCAACTACTCATCTCGTTAGGCCACAGAAATAATTTACACGACTAAGCGTAGAGGTTTTATGAGGAGATTTCAGACGCAGCTGAAAAGAGGATTCTCGCCTTACCAATTAGTGCACCACAGAGAAAGCCGAACTAAAGTCTATCGCTGAGCACGAAACTGTTTCAAAATGTAAAGCAAACATAAAAGACTTGAGAGAATGTAAAAGTTACTGCCATAGTAAGTTAGAAAGAAAAATAAATTCAGAAAAAAAATCAAAAAAAAAGTCAAACAGCTACATAGTAGAACATTTAACATACACATAGAAGGTTCTACTGAAAAAAAAGTTATGATCACACTAGGGAGAGCACAGACTGATAAATTCCCCGCAAGGAAGAGGTTCCAGATAGTACATATCCGCGGCCCACCTCGTTATCCAGTAGCTTGATCAAAAGCCTTGAATAGCCTACCTGTACACCATTTGAAGGCAGAATCCCGGTCTCAATCAGCAATCGGTCACATCTGGCCTGAATTTTTAAACGTCTTTCGTGTCTATCAACCCCGTTTTTGGAATACACCCCATTCGACCACCATCCAGGATTGCAGTGGCGTACCATCTCTCCAAGTGGTCGTTATCTCTATTTCTCAGTAGCTTTCTTACAGTTTTCTTTTTGTTGCTGATATTATGATTTCAACGTTGCTTCGTAAAGCATACTGATCAGAGATAAAGATATGTTGTCTATAAGACGACTTGTGGGGACCTACTGATGTTTGTGCACTTGGACCGCTGATCCTCCCAGACGCCTCTGGTACCGATTAGACCAGGGAATTATACGGGATTAGAGGGTATAGAAGCCCTAATTTACTGAGGCTGGTATCCACACGGAGTTCTATCATAGGGCCATGCATGTGTGAAATTGCGCTCTTTGCCGCTGCACCACTTCCTCCCTACATCTGACCTGATAAAAATTTAAAAAACAATAAAAATTAGTACATGATGTTAATATCAACAGGTTTTGTGAAAATTTCAGTTGAATATATTAATTATGAGGCCATGGGGATGGCGACGACGAAGATTATAAATGATGATCCAAGCGATGTATACGACTGGGAGATGGAATAATCAGTAAATTGACGGGTCTCCCTCGAAATATGAGGAACTTTGACTCGAGTCAAGCAAACATCTAGTACCAATAAGGGTAGGTACTATGCCTGCCCTTAACCCGTAGTTCTGAGGGCACTTAGCTAGCGATCAGCTTAAGGAACGAGACTCTCACCCGACTGAACA